TATTTTTTCTTGTCAAAATTTAGCTTAAGCTTGCAATTTTATTATATTTCTAATATTTTAACTTGTTAAACAGATTTGAACATAAAATTCGTTTAGAACTGTGCTTAAATATTTTTATGGAAATCATATATTATTCAAGAGATCAGAGCTATACATAAATATATAAAAGTAGTCAAGTCAAGTTAGTCAAGTACTTAAGCACATACAGCATATAGAAGTAGTCAAGTCAGCTTTATAAAAAAGTGCTTATTGAGATATATATGCAATTTCACATATACTACATCACTTTAACTATTATTAAGTGCTTTAAAAATAAGTCCTTTCTTGTTTTTTTATAATATATTACAAAACAACTCAATTATGTCTTTAGTCTGCGCTACTCAAGCTGCCTTTGGTTTATTTGCCATAAAAATGTTATAAACGTTTTATCACTGCATAAAAAGAACCTTTTAATATTTAACAATTGATTTTTATGGCGTAGTAAATTAACTTAAAAACCTGTTTTTAATTTATAAAAAATATAAGCAACGTGCGCAACACAATATAATAATAGTAAAAATCAAGTACCTAAAGCAGATTAGTAATTTATCTGAGCCCTCTATATATGTAGAGTATATATGTTTATATAGTTAGTTTATTGACCTTTAGTTTCCTTTCTAATTAAAAGTGAAAAGCTCTCATAAACACACTTTTCATCAACTCTTCTCCTGCCCACTCAGGCCTCGTCGTCGCCGGCCAAGCACTCGATGCCAAAGCCAAGAGCGAAGACAGCAGCTCCGCCTCCGCGCAGCTGGAAACGGAAGCGACCAAAGACAAGCGACAGGTGAGCAGCAAGGAGACGCCCATCTATCCGAATCATCGCAGTTCGGCTGCTGAAGCAGCCGCTGACGATCCCGAGGATGGGCAGGAGTCGATCTACGGCAGCAAACCGAACCAGTTCATCATACGCCCCATTGCACCGCATCAGCACCAGCAGCACGAGTCACATCAGGAGCCGCAGTTGCGTAACTTTGCGGCGGCCAACTCGCGTCCGCACGCTGCTCAGCTGCTCGAGCAGAGCCAAGAGGTGAGTCCACGAGGGGGAGGGCGGGGAAAGAAAGCTCTCCGCACTCGTAGTAGTGGGTCAATATTTGCTTGTCTCTTTCGTCAAAATTTGTTCGCCTGGGGCGACAGAAGCGTTTGTTAAGCGTGACTCAACCGAATTACACGATTCTTTGCAAAATGCAGGATGTTAAACTGTAACAACAGCAACCGAAACAACAGCAACAACAACAACAACAACAACGATTGCAGCTTGTATTGAATTTGTCAAATTAAGCCTTTCGCTGGCCCCCAGCTTGGCGCAAACCTTGACCAATATTGTGCTTCAATTTTCAACATTTTGGGAACAAATTGCGATTAAAGCAATCGCAATTACCCAAAAGACAATGTTTTTATATTACAAAATGTGCAAGAAAAATGATTGCTGTAAAATGGAAATAGAAAAAAATTAAAAGCGAATATAATAAATGCCATTTGTAGCGGCCGAAATGTAAGTCACGAGCAGCAACAGCTAAAAACTAAATAATTGCAAAATTATTATTATTGTGCTGCTCTAACGCGTCAACAACAACAACTACTACAACAACAGCAACATGCCACATCCAACACAATTTGCAACAGCAGCAACTTCTTCTTCTTCTTCTTTTCTGCTTCTTCTACTCGTCGCAGACAATGGCAGGCGTTCGTTGTCTGTCTTTGGCTTCAGTCGTGGGAAGAAAGTTGACATAATGTTATAATCACATCACCCCCCACATCCATGTCTGTCAGTCCGCCTTTCAGTCTCTGCTGATGGCGCCTTGACATGGCTGGGTTTTATTTATTATAATAATGTGAAGCCTATTGCGACGGCAGACACTGCGCAACAGATTTTGGGCTTTAGATCATCTCATTCGGCTAATTTTAACTAATTTGCTCAACTTAAATTTAAGCAAGAGTTTCAGTTTTGCTCTGTCCCAACTGCTGCTACTTATAAATGCATTGTCTTTCTATGCGATTCTCAGCAATTTATGAATTACTTAGACTTTTTTTTCTCCATTTCTCTTGTTAGACTTGTTGTACTCAGCTTTTTAGGATTATCGTATAAAAAAAGAAAGGCACTCACCATTTCTTCTAAGAGTAGTTAAAGCATGGTATATAGTTAAGTAATCCAATCGACTGTACTATTGATAGCCCAACAGAGAATTGATCTTCACTTCCAGTAAATCGTTTCATTTAAGGCTATTTATATTCCATTTTCATCATATCATATCTATACTCCCTCTCTGTTTCAATTCCATACACCAGTAACTGCTACTGAGTAGCTATCTGTGTGTCTATGGAAACCCACACTCATTTCTCATCATTTAAAAAACTTCTCTCTTACTTTCTCACTCCCCTCTCAGTCTAGTCTTGTTACAACTCTTGCTCCTGTAGTCTAGTGCTGCACATTGACCTAAAACGTTATCGTTAGTTTGTTGCACAGTGTAATGTAAATAATTTGTTTTATGCCAACGCCGCCACCGACTTGCGCATCGATTGCAACAGCAGCTCAAGTCAAGACCCCGCAACCGTTGAGGTTTCTGTTGTTGTTGTTGTTGTTGTTGTTGCTGTCAGTCGCCGCACAAGTGTTATATAAGTTTTAGATGCCACACGATTCTCACAGCTCACAGCTCACAACTCCGAGTTGATCTTAATAGATGTGGCAGCTGCTTTGTGCCTCTATGTGGGGAGCTCCACATTTAAACGCTGCCATTTGGCTGTGGCATTGGCCGTTGATCTTTCGCACGCCCACCTAGCCGCAAGCTAGCTTAATCGTCATAATTTATTAGACACGCCCTAACGCTTTGTCTCTCGCCCACGCCTAGCTGCAGCACTACGTCTATCTGCAAGATATACAGCGACACCAGCCCAAGGCACTGCCATCTGGGACTCAAGGTAAGGCAGCGACACAGTCTCCCAAGAAGGCAACGCCCGTCGCCGAGGAACAGGAGCAGGAGCAGGAGGCGGAGCAACGGTATGCAGTCTCCATACAACCGCAGCCGGGCTTGAGGGGCGGGCCCTACGCGCAGCAAGCATATCAACTGCCTTTGCCACTGCCTGCACCCCACCATCAACATCAGCAACAGCAGCAACATCCACAACAACAACAGCAGCAACAATATCAAATCATACCCGAAGAGCAGTTCTTGAAAATACTCGAAGAGGAGCTGCAAGCAAGAGCTTACCATGAGCAATTACGTCAGCAGCAACAACAGCAACATCAGCAGCAACAACAACAACAACAGCAACATCAGCAGCAACAGCAGCATCAGCAGCAACATCAACAACAGCGCCAGCCTCCACCTCAGCCCAAACTGTTGCCAGTGCACAGCACCGCAGCCACGCACAAAGTGCTGCAGCAGGCCGAGCCTATCCTGGGCCTGGGTGGCTATCGGGACCGCTATGTGGCCGAGCAGCAGCTGGTGCAGCCCAACTACTCGCGCGGCGGACCCAAGTACTTGCCTTTGCCGCAGTCACAGGAGGAGGAGGAGTCGCAGGCGCCTCTGCCGCAGCAGCGCCATCCACCACAGCAGCAGCGCCTCATCGCTGCCCTGCCCCCGCAGATTGCCTACTATCAGCCACAGATTAGCTACAAGACGCTACCCAATCATCCGCTGGCCAAATCATCGCTAGAGAGCGAAATCGAGAAGCTGTTGGCCGCCAACAAACCAGGTGCGGGTCAACAGGCGCTGGCCTACGTGGACAGCAGCAATGAGCCCACGCTGGTGAATCATCAGCAACATGTGACACGGCTGCCACCTCCACAGCATCCACCGGCACCCACTTCGCACCCGGCACTGCGCCAGCCCAAGGCCTACTTGGCCAGCACTCCCAACTCTCTGCTGGATGCCAACAATCAGCCTTTCGTGCCGTCGCTCTTCAAGTTCAGCAACTTCCAGCAACCGACGCCCATTTACCCTGGCCCGCAGCCCGAGGGCAAGCGATTGGGACCTGTTATTTATCCAACGGGCGCGCCTGCTCAGCCACAGCCCTCGCAGTACTACTACCAGGAGGCGTCGCCAACTCCAGTGCCCAAGCCCAAGCAGTATCGCACTAAGCAATACAAGCTGCCCACACCCTCACCAACCAAGTCCTATGAGAAGGCGCTGCTCTATGCCGACTATGCGGAGCGTGCCCCGCCTTCAAGTCCAGCACCCACTAACGCCCACTTCTATCCCAGTCCGCCCGATCCCATCAAGCATGTCTCCCATGGCCAACATCGTGCTGTTGTGCCCACTGTGCAGCCCATTGACTATCCCGCTCATCCGTCGCCCTCACAGTCCAGCATCTATGTTTCCCAGGGCACTGGCATAGCAACGCCCTCTCGTGTCACGCCCACAGCCGCTGCAGTGCACAAGCTGCGAACCCTGGACGAGGTGAAGCAGCTGAACCTGCCCCCACCCAATGGCAAGCCACTCACCCAGGCCGAGTTCCAGGCGCTCGTCGAAGCTGGCTATCCAGTCAAGGCAGTGCCCGTCCCTGTGCCCGTGCCCTATGAGCAGTACGTCAAGGATCATCCCGAGTATCGTAACCATCCGCCAGTAGACTATGCGCATCTGATGCGCCTGGCCACTCGCCAACTCACAGCCCATCAGCATCAGCATCAGCTGGCCCATCAGCGCGCAGCGCCTTCAGAGCCGTCGGTGAAGATCCTCTCCTCGCCCTCTTCCGCCGAGGCGCAACAGCAGACGGCGACGGGCATTGGAGGCGGCAGCGTCACGTATTTGCAGCGAAGGCCGCGCGACGAGCAGGACACTGCTGTCGCTGGTAGCGAGACGAAGGCAACGGCACCCGCCGAGCCAGTGGAGAAGTCCACATAAGACGCGATCCTTTAGTTAATCTCACTCACCCTTTGCCTAATTTTAAGTATTGTAAAAATGTTTCTGCATGTTCAGCACCTTGATAAAGTTAAATTATAAATAAATAATAATAAAATTTAGTTAGATCTTCAGAACAAGTTTCTACAATTTATCGAAAACTATTTATTTGCGTAAGCTTTTGGATGTCTAGGGAATTTTGTTATCTGAGAGGGATTTGGGGATTCACATTGGACTGAATACACGGAAAATGGAAAGGTATATTTTTTTTTTATATAAATACAAGCTATACAAATAGCTTTCATATGCAATGCTTTCATTTTTATAGATTGCTGAAAGCCCTTTTTAAAAAAATCTTACTATCTAACTAATTAATTAACCTATCATATATAATTCATTGTTTCAACAAGCCACAGAGAGTTGCTCGACGACCTTTCCTTAGTTCATGCCCATCGGGGTGTTGCTGTTGCTGTTGCTGCTATCCGCTGAGCTAAGGGTTTCGGGCGTGGCAGCATCCCTTGTCTGCAGGCGAGAAATTTGCGGGTCTCTTCGATCCTTATCCTTGCGCTCTCGCTCACGGTCTTTGTCCTTATCCTTGTTGTGCTTGTGTTTGTGCTTGTGCTTATGCTTCTTCTTGTCTTTCTTCTTCTTTTTCTTCAAATTGCCATCGGGTCTCATCTTGCTCTCGTCGTAACTGCTCTCGTATTGTCGTGTCGTCTCGCCAACGTCTAGCACCGAGATCGAATTATCGTCTATGGTATCCGCATACATCTCGGTTCTTAGACGCTTAGTTAATTGCTGAGAGTCGCCAGCGGCTTCATCGACAGCATCAACATTTAGCTTTGCCTCGCTGTCATAAGCCTGCACTTCAATCGGATCATTTAGCACGGTGATCTCCTCGCTGCGCTCTAACTTGATGATCTCATCGCCCACCTCGAAGGCTTCTGTCGCAGTTCGTTTAATAGTGACCATGGAGGGCTTTTGTTTCTCCTGGGGCTCACTGTCTATTGGCTTGGGCTCGGTTGTCTTTTTAAATGAGTTACCTGACGCATTAGGCTCCTTCAACAAGTCCTTGTAGAAGTTTTGAGTTTCGGAAGCTTGTAGGCAAAACGGTCGCTTGGTACCGTAAAGCGCATAGTAGAGATCGACAAAATCACAACGTAATTTCGTGTCACAGGACAATGTGTTAATGCTGATCCACAGACGTTCCACCAGATGTGGTTTGTCTAAGCGGCTGCGGGTCTCGCGTGTAAATGGTGGATTGTCGATGAGCAGCTGGGCGAGAGCATGACGTGCAGCAGGATCTGGATCAGTTTCGAGCAAATTTATCAAATGCTCCAAGTCTTCCCAGCGTCCATCTACTTTCACAAAGTCCACAAGACACTCCATGGCAGCAATGCGTAAGTCCAGAAAAATTCCATACTCCGCATAGCTGCGGTAAATGTGAGGCAGCGAGGGCAGATGGCCAAACTTTTGCAGCTTGCGAATGACCTTAAGGCAAGACACGGAAACCATGTACTTGTACGATGGCAAATGCTTCTCCATATTCAGCAGACGCGTTACCTCATCCAGAACCAGTCTATCAAAAAGAAAATGGCATTAGTCTACGCAGCATACACATTAGTTTCGTCTCTAATTACTTGGCATCCGTGGAAAGGCTGTCTGTGGTAATTTGCGTACCATGCATTGCTACAGATACGACGGGAGTCAAAGTCTCTCCCAGTGCCTCGACTAAAGCAGCCCTATAGTAGGCGTCAGTATAGTGATTACGAGAGTTCTCATTGTACTTGAAGAGATCGAAGAGGAATCGCATTACCTCGGGTGGACAGATGCCATGAGAGGTGCGTAAGCCTGTAGCGAGAATATATAGTTAAAGATAGAAAAAAAAAGAAACATTTGATCCACTCACCCGCCATGGCCACGGGTATAGCCTTTTGGAGGAAGTACAATTGAAAGTTGGAAAAGTTGTTCAGTTTTATGATGTGTGGTGCACTAAAGGAGCCAAAGAACTTGCGGAAGATGTTGAGCATGGCAGGTGGACCACTCCATGAGGCGACCATTTGGTTGGCCACCTTGGTTAGACTGTGAGCAGCCTGGCAGCGGACCTTGTAAAAGCAATGATCACTCTCAATAGTGTCTGTGAGTGCTAAACGCGTGGCATTGGTGGGATACTTTTGCAGCGCTTGGATAGCCTGAAACTGGGCTGTCACATCTCGCTCGTGCCGTAGTTGGTATTGCCATTGAAAGTCCGGCTGCTCAATTATTAGATCCCGTAACAAAATCATCTCTGGATCAAGTCGTATCCATAGTACAGGTGAGTCACTGTGAAATAGAAAATACATTAAGTTGATGTGCTTAAGTGAATGCTAATGAAACCTACTCCATGGCAGACAAGTCCATGTCCACCTCTTCGCCGGTGCACAATGGAATCTTCTTCTTCTTATTTCGCCTACTCTTCGAATGGCAGGTGATGTCCGCCTTGACCAGTGTATTCTCAATCTGCAGCGTGTGCTTGAATGTGCCATCCAACTCCTGCAGCTGCACCAATAAGGGCCCATTATATTTGCGCACACCACGCTGATTGACAAAGTCCTGGCGTATCTCCAATTCGATGGTGTTTCGTTTTCGATTGAATACCGAGGTAAGCGAGAACTTTGCATGGCCGCCCGTGCGCACCCACTGATCCATAAACACAGACATGTCCTTGCCCGTGACCGTGAAGATGGCCTTGATGAAGATGTTCGTGGAGATCAGCAATTGCGACCAGAGGCCGGCGCCTATTTTAGTACCCGCTGCATTTGTGGCCAGCGCCAGTTGCTTGTTAAACACTTGGATGAGCAGCTCCTGCCCGATGCGATGCTCCAACATGCGTATGACCAGATGCGCTTTCCTACGCATCGCCTCTACATATTTGGGTGAAACCGTGTGCAAACTCTTGATGGGAAAGTAGTGTACAATCTCCTGCTGTTTACTCGCAGCAGCTGCGGGATTCGTACTCGATACGGGCAGAGGAGCTGGTGGCTGACTGCAATCGAGTATAATGCCGCCAAACTGTTCCTCGTACTTGACAACGCGTGCCAGCTCCGTTTGCACCCATTCCCGATACTCGTTATTGCCAAAGCATTTCCGTGAGTAGAGGCCACACAAATACTCGGCTATGCCTTTCGCTAGCCAAGTGTCCGACCAGTGATGCGAGGTGATGAAGCAACCAAAGAACTGCTCTGCCACAGCTCGTGACATGAAGGTCCGTGAAATGTAGGTCTGGTCTATAATTGCTATCGAGTGCAGGAGATTAACCGATGCTATGGTCATTGTTGCATAGGCGCTGATATCAGTATCAAGCTCGTCTACAAACACCTGTTTGTAGCAGGAAAACGGATAGCGTGTGGAGAGCGTCTCTTCGAAGAACTCAAAGGCTTCGTGAAGATACCGCACCGTATTCTTCAAGAGAGGCAACAGGCCGGGCAGGCAAAAATGAGTCACTTCGTGCATATGCGGGTCCACGTAGATTTCGAATGGGCCCACAGCCAGCGCAATGTTCGGCGCACAGACAGGTGTGGATACAGTGTAGTGAAACGTTTTCTTTCGCAGATCCGGCGTCATAATAACTTCGACCAGTTCTCCACAGGAAACAGCAGTCAGATTTTTATCCACTGTAAATTCTAGTCGCCATGTGCACGGATCCGCAAAGCTGTCGACGCAGGGAAACCAAAGGCGGGTCGAGTTCTCATAGCAGTTGGTGAACATGTGCGCACTATAATTCTGTCCTATTTCATCATCAGGGGGTATGGGTGGAATAACGAAGTGCATGCCACCTTTGGGATTTTCGGCTGAGAATTCAATGCGTATGCGCAGACCACGACCCTCCTGAATCAATGGATAGCCTTCTTGCGGCACCTGAATCAGCAGCTCGCCATTATTCGTATCCGGATCCGTAATCTGCGCTGCAGCCAAATGATTCTTTGAGAAGACTTCCAGAGAGCGGCTGAAGTTGGAATGAATTGAATGAATAAATGACCTGCCACAAGCATTGCTACGACTCAACAAACCTCTTGGGATCGTTGTGGCATATATCCTGAAAGGGATCGAAGTAAAAAAACTCAGCTTGGCAAACATCGTTGAGCACCACGTTGTAAATTCGCAGCTGCTTGGCATTGAGACGTATCAAACGTAAACTGTCATTATTTGGCACTATCGTCAACTCAACCATGCCCTGAAAATCATGCATAATTAATATTAAAATTGATTCGCTATCATTTTCTCTTACAATTATGCTGCGACGTTCAAAACTAATTCCAGTTAGGCTCACAACTTGATGCGCCGTGCTAGAGAAAAGAAAAATTGTTAAATGGCTTACTTAAAGCAACGACAGCCAAATACTTATAATTTAAATGGACGCAGCGGTACTTCGGGAATCTCAGTTTTTGTGTCCATAGTTCTTCACATTTAATGTCTACAAATTTCACAAAATTCTTTAACCGCTATCAATATCGCAGCATTGTTTATTTTTTTCCTATTCTATATTGTTCTTCTTTTGCGGCTTGCGGCTTTTGTCAAAAATGACAGCAAAATATACCAGATGCCGTTGTGGCAACTCTAAAAATTATTATGCAGCCCTGATTACAACTTTTAACACTGATGCTGAATTTGGGGTATTTTTCAGCACCAATTAAAATTGGATAAAACAATAATCTCCAATATAAACTATACAATGAAATGTAAGTAGTTTAAATAATTGAATTCATAAATTAAAGATTTATACTTACATATATATCTACATATATTAAAACAAAGATTGTATTCAAACTCCTAATATTGTTAAATTACATTAGGATTAATATCCGCATACACAAGGGTTAAGATGTGAATCATCTGGTATACGAAAGTTAAATTTGGATATTTCTCCCATTTAAAACGTATATTTCCTCAGTCGAGTCAGCACTTTTCACGCAAAAGCGTCTATCTGCGTTCCCTGTAATAGTTGTTTATAATTCCATTAGCTGCGTAAATCGATTAATATATATTATAAAAAAGAAAAGATATTTAAGAAAAAGTTAATTAAATTTAAAGAACTGTGCAACAATGTACGGTATTGATAATTATCCCAAAAATTATCATGCCAGTGGCATTGGCCTTGTCAATTTGGCAGCTCTCGGCTACAACAAGAATGAAGTCAGCGACGACACGCAAGGCAAGCCGAAGTCTGGACTATACCCTTCGCTGCCCTATCCAACATCGGAGTCCGTGGGTGGCATGCCATATGTGGTGAAGCAGACGGTCCAGGCACAGAATTCATCGTATCAAGGCATGCCCCAGCCATCGGCGACGCCGTATCCAAGCTCTGGCATGTATCCCAATTTGCCAGCCATGCCGTTGCCATATCCATCAACGCCGATGGCGCCCATATCGAGTGCATCCCCATATCCGAGTGCCACGCCTTATCCAAGTGCAACGCCTTATCCCAGTGCAACGCCTTATCCCAGTGCAATGCCCTATCCGAGTGCGACGCCCTATCCAAGTGGGCCGCCGTCGCTACCCTATCCAACGGCTGGAGGAATGGGTATGCCAGGCATGCCCATGCCCTATGCACCCTTGCCCACAAGTCCGGCACCGCAATCAATTTATCCATCGATGCCAACGCCATCTGCGCCGCCACCAAACGAGCCCACGCCTGAGGAGGAGCCTTCTGTGGGCGTACAGGAGCTGCAGTTCACCAGTGTCAAGGTGCCCGAGAATCAAAACATGTTCTGGATGGGCCGCAAGGCGAGTACCACGCGCCAGCAGAGCATCCAAAACGTGGACTTTTCCACGCTGCGCGAATCTTGTGTGTCCAACAACACATTATTCGAAGATCCCGATTTTCCGGCCAACAATGATTCGCTTATGTTCTCGCGTCGTCCGGATCGGTACATCGAGTGGTTGCGCCCGGGAGAAATTGTGGACGATCCGCAGTTCTTTGTCGAGGGCTACTCACGCTTCGATGTTCAGCAGGGTGAGCTGGGCGATTGCTGGTTACTGGCTGCGGCGGCGAATCTGACACAAGACTCGAAGCTCTTCTTCCGCGTGATACCGCCAGATCAGGACTTCCAGGAGAACTACGCGGGCATCTTCCACTTCAAGTTCTGGCAATATGGTAAATGGGTCGAGGTCGTCATCGACGACCGTCTGCCCACCTACAATGGGGAGTTGATTTATATGCACTCAACGGAGAAAAACGAATTCTGGAGCGCGCTGCTGGAGAAGGCATATGCCAAGCTGCATGGCTCGTATGAAGCCCTAAAGGGTAGGTCTTGAATATACATTTGCTTTATTTATTATAAACCTAATGTAACCATCTTATCCTCTCCTTTAGGCGGCACCACTTGTGAGGCAATGGAGGACTTTACGGGTGGTGTCACTGAGTGGTATGATATCAAGGATGCCCCGCCCAACCTGTTCAGTATCATGACCAAGGCAGCGGAGCGTGGCTCGATGATGGGCTGTTCCCTGGAGCCGGATCCGCATGTGCTAGAGGCTGAGACGCGCGAGGGTCTGATACGTGGGCATGCGTATTCCATAACCAAAGTCTGTTTGATGGATATATCGACGCCCAATCGTCAGGGCAAGCTGCCCATGATACGCATGCGTAATCCTTGGGGCAACGAGGCCGAGTGGAACGGTCCTTGGAGTGATAGTTCGCCCGAATGGCGCTTCATTCCGGAGCACCAGAAGGAGGAGATTGGCTTGAATTTCGATCGTGATGGTGAGTTCTGGATGTCTTTCCAGGACTTCCTCAATCATTTCGATCGGGTAGAGATTTGCAATCTCTCGCCCGACTCGCTGACCGAGGATCAGGAGCAAAGCTCGCGTCGGAAGTGGGAGATGTCCATGTTTGAGGGCGAGTGGACATCTGGTGTCACGGCTGGTGGCTGTCGCAACTTCTTGGAGACTTTCTGGCATAATCCACAGTACGTCATCACGCTGGAGGACCCCGACGAAGAGGACGACGACGGAAAGTGCACGGTGATTGTGGCGCTTATGCAAAAGAATCGTCGCAGCAAACGAAACGTGGGCATCGATTGCCTGACCATCGGCTTTGCCATTTACCATCTGACAGAGCGAGACTTGGAGCAGAAGCCTCAAGGGCTTCACTTCTTCAAGTATCGTGCCTCGGTGGCTCGCTCTCCACATTTCATAAATACCCGTGAGGTGTGCGCGCGATTCAAGCTGCCGCCCGGTCACTATCTGATTGTGCCTTCGACATTCGATCCCAACGAGGAGGGTGAGTTCATAATTCGTGTCTTCTCCGAAACCATGAACAACATGGAGGAGAACGATGACGAGGTCGGCTTCGGCGAGACAGACGATCGTATTGCACCCGCTCTGCCACCGCCCACACCCAAAGACGAAGACGATCCACAGCGCATCGCGCTCAAGCGTCTCTTCGACAGCGTGGCTGGTAGCGACGAGGAAGTGGACTGGCAGGAGCTGAAACGCATTCTGGATCATTCGATGCGCGATGTCATGGTCGGCACCGATGGCTTCTCCAAAGATGCCGTACGTTCCATGGTCGCCATGCTGGACAAGGATCGTTCGGGTCGCCTGGGCTTTGATGAGTTTGAAGCTCTCCTAACAGACATTGCCAAATGGCGCGCCGTATTCAAGTTGTATGACGTACGCCGCACCGGCAGCATCGATGGCTTCCATCTGCGTGGGGCACTCAACTCGGCTGGCTATCATCTGAACAATCGGCTGCTGAATGCCCTGGCCCATCGCTACGGCTCACGGGACGGCAAGGTGCCCTTCGATGACTTCCTGATGTGCGCCATCAAAGTGAAGACCTTCATTGAGATGTTCCGCGAACGCGATACAGACAATTCCGATACGGCATTCTTTAACCTAGACGATTGGCTAGAGCGCACCATCTACTCCTAGAGAATTAAAGCTAATCCCGCTTCACCCAGTCGCAATCCATACTAATCCTAAGTGCCACATTTACTTATATACTACCATATCTATACAGATGCTATTCAGATGATGCACAGCTGCATGTCCATGACGCAGACAGAGCTTATCAAATAACAAACGATTGCTACAGTGAGACCACAACAAAGCGGAAATACAAAATCGTGTGCACATTAATTATATTGACCTTCAGTCGAGTGCTTGACGATAAACGTGCAGAGCGAGGGAAGCGCAGAGAGCGCAGCAACTCAAATAAAAACCAGAAACTCAGCAGAACTCGCCGGTTGTTTACAGAGTCATTATATAGATACTATATGGCTCACATGCACACACAAGCACATATATATATTATGTATATTATATATATTTTATATATATATAGTGTGTATCTATGAGTAATGTCTAAATCAAACTACATTCACATTCTTTGCAATAGCCAAAAGTCGCCGTCAGTACAAAATGATATGTGCTTTATACAAGAAGGAAACTAAGAAGCTAACAGTGTATAAATTTTACTATGTATTGTATGTATACAAATATAATTTATCTATTTTTTGCAAAGTTTTTGTTATATATGTATATGTTCAAGTGCTCGAGAAAGCTATTCGATCAAAAATTGCGGCTATGAAATTTAAAGAAAAAAAATTATTGGAGTATATATTAAAAAAAAAAAAAAAAAAATGTAAACTATAATTATTATATACTTCTTTTGTCTTGAATACTCAGTAAACAAAATTGTTTAAAAACCTGAATCACAGCTGGCAACAAATATATGTATACACTTTTTCTAATTAATTATAACTCTAATTGTAATTGTAATTGTTACCAATTAATATATTGTTTCATCGTTCTTTTCACCACATAATTAAAATTTTTATTTGACTACAACGATTTCCGTAGCGCCAGTCGGTGCGCCGGCCAAGACGAGAGTTTCTTTCATTTCCTCATAGTTCAAATCGGATTCCGAGCAGAGTATTTGCAGCACCTCAAGAAAATCTTCATATTCCAGACGCCACTTTCTGTGGAAATACGTGCCTCGTCAGATTTATAATATTACAATGATATCATAGACATGCAGATATACTTATAGCGCATATAGATTAGCCCGGTTTGTGTGCGCGTAATGGGCACAGGCATCAGCTTGGCCTGCTCCAGCCAGCAGTCAAGTTGCGAGAGCAGAATACTATGAAATTCCTGGTTTTCTAGGTCCGACCCAATCACCTGAACACAGGTGGTTCAAATATAGATTAGACAACTACAAATATATATATAGTAGTGCAAGGTAAATACTTATATAGAGACCTTATGATTGCAGTAAATGCGAAAGAGCGAGTCGATCGTATGCTTCTTTGGTTTATCATCGTCATCAGCCATGGCGCTAGAGAGACTATATATATAACTAGATGAAATATACTATATAATGATGCTCCAAGTACATTCAAACGTGTGTTGGCGATACAGACTTATTTTTTGTATATTTGGAAATGTGTTTTCTTATTATTTGTTGACAAACAAATTGCCAGGCAACTAGATGTACAGATGTACATACATATATAAATATGCATATAAAAATTGTGTTTATGTGTATACATATATTTGATTGATTTCGTTGCCAAGTGTCCCGGTCGATGATATCAGTGTCGTTGCCTGCTCTATTTGTTGTCCCCCGGCTCCTGCACCTCCACGTTCTGTGCATTGAACTTCTCCACGAGACGTTGCACGTAGCTGACGAGCTTCGGCAGTGGCTGCTTGCTGCTGATATCGCAGGTGCGATAGGGCGGCGCAATAATCACCTGTTGGAGCACTATTATGTCGTTCAGTTTCCAGGAGAGCTCGCTGTTGCCGAAGTGCTTGGAGAGCACATTATACAGTTGTATGCCACGTGGTGTGGCATGCTCGTTGCGGCTGCGCAGCACATGCTCACGTTGCTCCACAGTCTGCCGCAGGCGCTGATCCAACTGCAAACAGAGAGAGAGAAAGATATAGATAAAGAGAGAGCTTGCGATAAAGAGCGAGTCAGTCAAAGCCCCCTTGGAGGCACTTTTCTACATACGCGCGTCAAATTGAGGCGAGCGGGCTGCTCGCTCAGCTTATCTGCTGCCTTGGCCTCGCCTATTATTTTTAAGTTCTTGCAAAAGTCTAAATTCACAATGGTCTGATTGTCCTTATTCGGGGAGCTTAATATCAACATTTTGACGCTGTGCTCGTAGGTGACCACCTCGCCGATTATGATATCCCCAAAGCAGGTCTCCACATGCAATTGGGTGCCAATAGGGAAAGGATTGAAAGACATTTTGCTCGGAAAAATGAAAAATGCTTTTGACAGTGCTCGGTAAAGCGTTTTACGTAACAGTGCTGCCAAGAGTTGCCAAATTGTACAGTTAATTGTGCAACACACTAGCTCTAGAAAATTCAAGTCTTGTACCAAAAAATATCCCTTTTCAAGGGGAATTTCCCCTCCCCACTTTATAGCAATTAAATTAGTAAGGGGAATTGGTTTTTTTTTAGTTTTTCGTTTTATTTCATTTTATTTACATTGTATGTGTATGTATGCTAAATATATAACTAAATATAAATGTTGTTTATATATATTTTTTATTAAATATATATATTTTTTTTCAAAATTAAACCTTTCCTTTTAATATAATTTATACGATGTTTTTTATCTTTAAATTTAGTTGTTTTTGCCATTGTAATTGTTGCACGAGCGTTGATTTTTCTCTATTAAATTGTTGTTCTTCAAGACATATATATTATTTAGTTAATTGTAATTGTATGTGTTTGTAGCTCCATTAGCACTATTAGCTATACGCTATATCTAACGCCCGAAAAATTGGTATATATGTATATAAAAATGAAAACATGCTTTATTCTTGATCTAGGCGTAATGTGAGAAAAGTGCATTAATAAATTCTTGGAGAAAAGCAAAAATAAAAACAAACGAGTTCTAAGCGCATAATATATATTGAAAATATCAATATCGAAAAAATATGAAACAAGCACGTACACAAAACAAATATACTTATACAATTCAAGAACACATACGTATAAAAGTTTTTATATGTATATAAATATATTTATATATACATAATTAATGGCGCTTAGATATTTGTAATAAAATCTGCTTCAATATGCAATAAATGTATTTGCCATCATTCAATCCGTCTGTCTGTTCTAAGCAAGTCCGTCTGTCTACTCTGTCCCTTGGTCTAATAACTGCTTAGAGTTGTTTAGTTCCCCTTTTAGCACTTTTAATGTGTATTCGTTTTAAGCATCTGCTTTTGTTTCTGCACTTATGTAATTGCTGTAGTTTTTCCATCTAAATTTAGGTTTTACGCGCCCGGTTTAAAGTCTTAATTATGCTTTTAGAAATCACCTTAAATGTGGAGTTACTTTGCTGACGATTTAGCTAAGTTTAATATTAATTCAACACGAATAACTCTTGTAAGATGCGCGACAAAACTACATGTTTTTGTTTTTGCTTTTACATTTGAATATATATATATATATATATATATATATATTTATATATATGAATTTTTCTTGTTTTGTTTTTGATTAGGAGCTTGGCGAATCTGCATATGAAAATGTGTTAGAATTGCTTTGCCCTTGATGTTGCTGTTCGTGTTAAAGTTGCGGTTGCATTACGTTGTAAGGGATTCATTCATGTTTAATATCAAAAGGAATGATATATATGCATAATATATATGTGTGTGATATATATATATATTTATAAAAATAAAACAATGCACTTCCGATTTAACCGACACGTCGCGAGTCTAGCATGGGACCATCGATCGCGCTAACTTTTAGTCGGAAATAGTAGACGGAACGCGCCAACATGCTTGCCGCAATGAAGAACAATGCAGTGTAAAGAAAATACATGCCAAGGTGTTCCTGTGGATAAATAGAAAGATTGTGTTTAATGCTGTTCTCCATTTATCTGTTGTCTATTCGTAGTTACCGATGCATATGAGATTGTGCCGACGGTTAGACCAATGCTGCCAACGAGGAAGAGCAATGCGACGATAGCAAACAGAATTCCGCGACTATTGGCAAATCGCGAGCCCACCGAAGAGACCTTCCTGCAGTGAGGACAGCGAGCCAGGGCGTTGTGATAGGTGTTAAACTGTGGATAGAGAACAGATTTGGGTAAGTGCTTCGTGCTTAGTGACGGCTTGCTCTTGCTCTTACCAAAAACGTGTCCGAGCAGTGACCACAGGTGACGCGGCACATGCCCGGCATGGTGGGCACTGGTGGTGTCACTGGACTGGGAGCGAGATTGATGATGCGCTTGCAGTTGGGACGAGGGCAAGCGATGCGTTGCGATGAGCTCTTGCAGATTAACAAACAATTGCAAGGACAGCGCACATACTTCTTGCCGGGTGGTGCGTTCCTTATGGGCTGCAATGGAATGGGAAATAAGTATTTTGGGTAGGATGGCAAAGGACATACTAAGCGCCACTCACAGTTGCCTCGTTGCAGTGGGTGCACTTGACCACATGTTGCTCCCGTTTTGTGGTTATGTCAATCATATTTTGACATACGCGACAGGTGACCATTGGTACGCCACCCGTGCCGCTACTCTGATACGGCGGTGGCAGCTCATCAGGACCAATAAAAGGCACCGACTGCGCGGTGCTGCCTGCAAATAGCAAAGAAACGAGTGAATGTCAGTAAAGAGCGAACTGAAGAATTGACGATGATAAACCTTTAGTGTAAAACAAATACATGTTGATGCTGTTGCAACTGTTGTTGCACTGTTGCTGCTGCTGCCGCAAGTTGGAAGCTGCATGAAAGCAGTTGATTGAGGGCGATTGATAGCGGCTCAAGTGGGTGTGACAGCCACGCAGATTAAGGCAAGTGGGTCAATGTTTAGACACTCTCGGTTACCAACCGCAACTAGAAAATCTAGATTTAGACGCCTCATTGCAGTTTCAAACAAGTTCTTTGATTCTCTCCGATTCAAGGGGAGAGAGCCCAGTACATTAAGCTGCTGCTATAAATAGTTCACAGCTTAGCCCTGAAAGGGCTGCAGTGATCAGGTTCTTGGCACCAAACAAAACAGTAAGTGCAGAGGGGAGCGGCGTCATGGCAGGGCCCAACATTTGTCTGCGCGACGATAATGGAAAAACAGGCGCATGACTCATGAAATGCCTCTCTGCCTGCCAGCCTTGCCTTCGTAGTGCTGATTAAACAGCTGAACGACGACGACAGCAACGACAACGACTACGCTACCGTTGCTGACTGCGCAGCGCCGAATTGATATCAGGGCATAAACAAAACAATAGCATGCAAAGGAGTTTGTATTTTAAAGCCGACGCTTGAATATGCTTCCGATAAGCAGTTGTGGGAAATGATTAAGTTATTAGCAAATAGTAATTGCGGTAGAGATAGTAGCTGATGGGGGATATAGGCGAAGTTTGAATACACTGAAAATCAAATGAATAATTTTATAATAAGTGTATATACATATGTTTTTTAACATATTTCTTTTGCATATCTTTGTAATTCAAAACTCAATGCTAAATTATTTTGAGACAGATTAAAAAGATAATATAAGAAGCTGTAAAGATAACAGACTCAAGTTATCTTATGTCAAACTGAAAAACCTGACTATATAATATTAAATGACTTCAAATTCATTGAATCTGGTAATCAAAACTCGTTGACTTCTTTTTCGACTTATATTTTGTTATTTCTTATTAACAGATGCTCAAAACTTTTAAAGCCATATTCATCGCAGTTTATGCGCACCTGTTACTAACGCTTCGCCATAGCTGTGATTGCCTCCTCGCAAGTAATGTCACCGTATGACAATCAGCCATGAATTGGACTACGATTCGGCATCAAGTTACGAACTTTCTTTTGAATGTCTCGCAGTTATCGTGTAGTTATGGCACACGCCCACATTCATACCAATGAGGCGCACCATATCAATGACTCAGAGGGAAGTGCGAAAATCTGGGTATGCAATGTTAGACAAGAGCGACAGCTAAACAACTAAACAACTGGAAATCACAGTGGCTGCTAAGTAGAGCGCACACTTGTTGGGTTTCCAACCAAGACAATTCACGCCCGCATAGATCCATATGCACGCATGCTGGCGAGCGCATGGGCGGGGTGAACGCACTTATTTCTATTTTGCCTAGGCTTAGGTTTATTGGGTTTACAGTTCTCAAATTTATATTACGTACCATCTTCGTTATTGGCTACGGCGCTGCTGCCGGGATTTTCGCTGCCTTCGGTCGGGAACGATGTGTACGAAGTCGAGGTCGGTTCGTCTTTGTTGATCAAGCTTTGTCTCTCGGGATCAGCCATATCGGCACTTTTTCTCTTATTTTCCCGTTACTAATGCACACACTCAAATTGCAATTGTCGCTGTTGTTGTTGTTGCTGCTGCTGTTCTTGTTGTTGTTGGTGTCGCTGCTACTGCTTTTTGTGTATTGCAACGCAAATGCTTCAACTGCAAATAATCGAAAAACAAACACCAAAATTATTTGTATGCTTTATAAGCATATTTTTAGTTGCTTAAACAATAGCTAGCGATTTCTTTGTTTGGTGCATTCGCATGTTTTTTCCTACATTTTTTTTTTCTTTTCCACTCTTTGCTGTTGAATCCTCCCTTTTCGGCATGCGCCGCAATAATCAATTTTATTGCTTTTTTAGCCGCATCGGGCCTACAAAACCCGCACACTGGCTCGATATTTATCACTCGACAAGTCGATATATAGAATAGTGCTAATTGATTGATGTTTTTATATTTCCTGTGCTATAATTTACCTTATTTTGTTGAAATTGCACTGCTGCTGCCTTCGACGAGCATTTAGACGCTTGGCCACACTGTTCGTTCAGTTTGGTCACACCGAAAACTTCCCCTCATTTTGCAGCCCTTAAGTTATCTATGCAGCCCTAACATAGAGCTGTCGCTGCCGACCAGCTGATGTACGTAGTTACGATCTGAGTGCAGATGGCGGTCAAACTCTAAAATGGCTCAGAATAATGAAAAACAAACCTCCGAAAAAGATAATGAGGAATCCAGCTGTTGCAGTTCAAAAGTTTGTAATGCTTATAATAGTTCCAGTGATTCAGAAACAGAATTGATAAATCTAAGCCTGCGACGCAAATCCCGCCAACGCCAATTTACACAAAGCTTCTCATTTAATCCGTTGCCACTGAGAATTATTGGTCACGGGGAAGTGGAATCCATTTGTGCTACTTCAAGCTCAGTGCGTGAAGTGACTTTAGGTGCGCCGCAATTTATTGATGATAGTTCGGATATAGACGTGGACACTGATTTACATATATCTAATGACAGCAGTGATTCAACAACTAATAGATCCATTGTATATCCTGGTAGATCTCTAACTAAATCTGATATTGCTGTCAAGAGAACAATACGCAAACGTAAATCTCGAAAGAAATTAATCTGTTACAAAACCATGTAAATAAAAAATATAAAAAATAATTTAAATAAAATAAAATATTTATTGCATTTAAATTCAACTGCAATCAAAAGTGTCAAGTGCAAATGTACAGGGCTGACTGCGACGGCCGCTTTGCAACACTGGACCAGGGCTACAGGTTGGTTTGTGCATTTTGGAGTAGTGGTAAATTTTTACAAGCATAACTATTTATATGCGGTTTTTATGTAAATAAACCAAAGCATACGTAGTCAAATAATTTGTAAAGTGTAAGTAAAGCATGTAAACAAACATCTAATGCGCTGCAATGCATAAGATTGTTGTATTATGGCGAAACAGTTGCGTGAAAATGTGCGATGATTTCATTTTGTGGTGGTGCTGCTGCTGCGCGTTGTTGTATTGGAAACTTCGTCGTATCTTTGCTTTGACGCTCGCTGTTGTTGTTGCTGTTGTGTGGCTATGGCTGCTGTTATTGTTGTTGCTGTTGTTGGCTTAGGTACGGGAAACACATAGCCAAACTAGCGGCGACGTCAGCGACGCACACAAATGTTTATGTAGCTGCTAGAGTGTGATTTAGGGCGGCATAGACAGCAACAACAACAAAAACAACTATAGAGACAACATCAACAATGAGAACACCTGTTTCTAATTGATTTTTCGCATTTTCAGCAACGCTTTCAGATCAATGACTTAACATCAACAACTGTGTTTTGGCATTATTGAGAAAAGAAAAGAGAAAGAAATAGAAAATCTGAAGTGAAGTGCCACAAAACATAAGTAACAGACAGACCAATTATAAACGAATTTGCTATATATAGAAAATAGGCAAAATAGATAAAGCCAATAAGCAACGAACGAACGAACATTTCTAACCCTGTTTGACCACCGACTAGTAAACAACATAAAACGCATAAGATATGGAGGCCCCACCAATGTTTAACAGCGTCGAAGACGAGTGCAGATACTGGAAAGAGCGCTCAAAACAGTATCACAAAGAGTATGTATTCAAAGAGTATATCAGATAATAGAGGTTATTTATGCGTTCGCTTTTATGGTATGCAGGTGGACAGATGTCAAACAGGAATACGATGAGTATGTTGAACAGTCGAGAGAAATGGAAGCTGAAATGGACGCCACTCTGGAGCAAAAACAGAGTATAATCAAAGATCTCAGAGCCAAGCTTAATATGTTAGAGAAAGAAAACGATTCCCTCAAGGTATGCTCAAGTCATTTAACATTAGTTATTTATACGGACTTCAGTAAAGCATTTGACTCAGTACATCATTACATACTAATTCTTAAGCTTGAACGCTTAGGATTTTCACCCAGTCTTGTCTCTTGGATTTCATCCTATTTAACGGGTAGAACCCAAAGAGTCTTGCTGAGAACAGCTATGTCTAAACTTATCTTTGTTTCGTCTGGTGTACCTCAGGGTAGCCATTTGGGCCCATTGCTCTTTTCCCTTTTTATAAATGACCTTCCTAGTTGTATCTCGTATTCCACTATATTTATGTATGCTGATGATGTAAAACTTTGCCTTCCATACTCCAGGGCAAATGGACATCTTCACCTTCAAGATGACCTAAATGCATTTCAACTTTGGTGTGTGGCAAACCAGCTTGACCTAAATTGCTCAAAGTGTATGACAATGACCTTCAGTCGTACCGTTCCTCTAATTGTTGATTATAAAATTAGCAATAATTCCTTACGACGCATCTTTACAGTCAAAGATCTTGGTGTATTCTTTGACTGTAAACTTAACTTTAATCTTCATATTTCTACCATAATTAATGAAGCCAAAAGTGCGCTTGGCTTTATTAAACGTTGGTCTAAGGAATTTAAAGATCCTTTTATTACCAAGCGCTTATTTACTTCGCTTGTGCGTCCTATCCTAGAGTATTGTTCTGTCGTATGGTCTCCGCAACATAAACTGTATCAGGATCGTATCGAATCGGTCCAAAAACAGTTTCTTCTCTTTGCCTTAAGAGACCTTAGATGGGACAGTAATTTACGATTACCGTCTTATCATAGTAGGCTCCAGCTAATTGATCTTCCATCGCTAACCAATCGCAGAACAATTTTAGGAATTGTTTTTCTGCATAAATTGATTAGTGGTGATATTGATTCGTCCTCTTTGTTGGGTCGTCTAAATTTTTTGGTTCCGTCCCGAGCAACTAGACACTATTGTCCGCTTCATTTACCTGTGTGCACTAGGGATTATTCTTTGCACAGTGCGTTTCATGTTCTTTGTGTTAATTTTAATAAATATTATCACGTTTTTTCCTTAGAGCTCTCTCCTCCTAAAATAAAAAGTGTACTATCAGCTTATCTTAGGGAAATCACTCACAATGCTCAGGCATAAGCATTGGCATACGCTTTTGCTGCTAATGTTGTGTTAGTGATTTCTCAATTCTATTCTTATACTCTATTTTTGGCTCTTCCATTACTCTTTTCTTTTTATTATTTCTTATTCTTTTTATTAACTTTTCTTGCAACTTCTCTTATTACCGGCCTTTTTCTTTTTCTATACTTTACCTCTTCTTATTTTATTCTTTTTTTTATTGTTGTTTTTTTTTTAACTCCTTTTATTTATTTATTTATTTTATTTTATTTTTTTTTTAATATTATTATTATTTTTTTATTTTTTATTATTATTTTAAGAATTATTTTAAGTATGCTAAATATTGTTTAATAACCTACATTTTAATATTTTATTTTTTTAAGTTTTCTTACTAACACTTTCTTTTCATAGCTTCAATAGTATCACTGACCATATTTGGCTGTGAGACGTGGGCATAGCCGGCCGGACTGGCAAATAAAATACCCCCATCGGGTTGGTGTTACTATTGAAATTATATCGTGTACTTTGTATAGGCTTTTTTAAATTAAAATTGACTCTCATTTTTGTCAATAGCTTTAAGAAATAAATAAATAAATAAAACAAATATGATTTCATTTACAGCTCAAGCTAGACTCACATGGCATTGAAATGTCAAATCTGGATAAGCAGCTGGAGACGGTAAAGAAGGAACGCGATTCCATGAAAGAATACCTGCGACAATTGGAGCAGAAAAACGATGATCTGGAGCGTGCACATCGCATACTCAACGAGAGCATAGTAGACTTTGAGAAGATGTTGGACAAAGCCTATGAAAAGAATGCACTCCTTGAGATGGAGGTGGACGAGAAGGAGGTTCTGCAAGAGAAGTTACAGCGACTAATGGACGAGACTCGTGGTGAGTATTAAATGTGGCTTAGCTAAGAACTTCTTCTCAATGGCCTTCTGTTTGCAGATCTCAAACAAGAGCTCAATGTGAAGTCGCGCTACACTCCAGCGAATGGCACAACAACAACAACAACAGCATCATCAGCAGCTGGTAACAGCTCGATGAACTCCTCAGCATCGCTGCCCAATGGTATTGTGGGCAATGGTGATATACTGCTGCAACATGACAATGCCGCCACAAAGGCGACTAGCATGAGTGTGAATGCTCTAAATGGCAGTTTAAATAATAGAAACGAATATAATCAACAGCAACATTCGCTTAAAAGTAAGATACTCCACTCGTTGAAGCAAACAAAACGCGCACTCAAATTATCAAAATCAAAATCAATATCAATATCGAAATCATCTTGCCATACCAAATCAACAAATTGCTTTTAGTCTTCATCTAAAATCACAACACACAGCATTGCCACACAATTGCACAATTTGTTAAATGTATAAATAAGTTTTTTTTTGTAATTTTATTTTTCATTGCTGTATTTCTGTATGCACAAAATTATTAAATGTAAGCCAAATTTGTAATATTTGCAACATTTCTCGTAGGCAATCCATGTGTGTGTGTGTGTGTGTGTGTGTGTGTGTGTGCCTGTATGTGTATCAAAATGTTAGTTTGTTAAACGTGTTGTCCCTAACAACCATGTCATTATCTCGTTAATTAATTGTGTGTCTTAGGCCTAGTCTACTGATATAACTAACCAAGCCGTGTTTGTGTGCTTCCTTTGCAGATCCCGAGAACCTTATCAATGGCAATGCTATGAATGCCAGCTCCCGCACCACGGCGCTCAACATTGTGGCCGACATGTTAAGAAAACTGAACGTAAGTCCCTTAAACCAAATAGAAAACCAAGTCAAGCATGGTGCCAGCAACGCTTACTCTATACTCCATGTTTTTCTCTACTTGTATCCCTGCTATTAGTTTGTGCTTTATCTATTTTTTGTTTGGCTCTTTTGTTGTCTTTTTTTGTTCAATACTTTCTTCATATGTTTTAGTTGGACAAGGCCTTGTTATGTCCTGATTGTCAAAAGTTTCGCTGCACTTGTGAGCGTGCTGCACTGTCGCCAGGCAGCGAAACGAGTCTCTTTCGTGGAGCCTTCGTCAGCACGACCAGCGCAAGTGGCAGCAACTCCGCTTTGGCAACGCCCAGCAGCGAGGGCAGCAACAGCGGCAGCTGGACGGACTGCAACGCTAGCCGGCGAGCCAGTTTGGCCAGCCTACAGTTTGGCACAAACATATTTAAGCGCTTCGCTGAGCGCATGCGCAGCATACAGGACTCTGAGCGTATGCCAGGGCCACCTGAGCTGTGATGCACAAACCAACGATATTTGTAATTGCTTTTGGCTTTTGTCTAATGTCTATTTTTGACGCTTGCATTTATTAATTGCTTTTCGTTAATAAATAACAAACCGTTTAATTTGTAACTGTTCGTTTAATTTTTTTGTTCGTTACATTGTGTTGTGTTGTGTTGATGATGAATGATATTTTATATGTTTCCGTTTGCATTGCAGGCCATGGAGACAAAGCTGAAGACATATCGCGAGCATGCGCCGCCAATGCAGCCTCGTCAATGACCATCAGCAGCAGACAGTGGGCAACTATTGCTGGAGTAGGCGAATTGACAGCTGGGAGCAGCAGCAACAGCAGCAGCAATCGCCACATGTGGCAGCTGCACAGTTTCGTCTGCAGTTGCAGCAGCAGCTGCCGTTATGTTTAGTTTTATGTTTATAATTACAGTTAATGCGCTACTGCCCCTCAATTATTTATTTTCTTACATTGAAATGACTTGTAAAAATGAAAAATAGTTATTCAACAACAACAGCAAGCAACTAGTAAATAATACGACATTATTTACATAGTCTGCGGACATCGATGCCCCGCCCAACATAACTGATAGCGCCTTACTAAGTACTTGTATTGTAATTACATTAATCTTAAGTCTGAAGCTAATCCGTTTTGATTTCTCGTGTTTTAAGCATTGTTGAACGGCCTTCAATTGTTTAGTTATTTGGCAAGACATTCATGGAATGTTTGTAGGTATATCTAGAGTATAGTCATGTCCTGACGGAGCTTTGTTAGTGCACCAATACATGTACATTTAGCACTCACAGACGTACAACACACACATTTCGGACATGGCTTAGCGCGTAAGACATACAACTTAAGTTCAGCTGAGTCGAAAGTATTACAGCCCCAAAATCCGTACACACACACACAGATACAGATACAGATATAAAGATAAACAGATATACAGATACAGATACTATTTAACTGGCAACAAATACTCGTAGCATTAGTGAGGTTGATGAAGATCGTGTGGCACTTACACTTAAGTTAAAGACAATTTAAGACACCCACATCTCACACACACACATACAGAAATAATTAGTTAAATTTATTAACGTACAAAATATATAAAAACGACAGCCAACAATTAAACATTTTCCGTTTATATTTTCAATTGAATATAAATTATGTAAAAATGCAAAAAAAATTGTTAAATTAAATAAAACAAATGTTTTTTTTTTTATATATATTACAAATTGTACAACACACGCTAAATTATAAATAAAAGAGATGATTAGTTTTAAATATAAATTTTTTCTTTTCGGTGACTGTTGAGTTCTGTCGCATATGCTCTAAATAATGGATCAGCTAAATATTTGTATTAATTTAGCGCGGGCTATGCCAAGGACAAGCTACTGCTACATAAATCATACATAGACACAAACACACACACACGCGACTCCTGAAAGCTTTTCAGAGTAGCTTTCACTTCTCCTTTTTAGCACATTCGGTGCGGGTTGGTCTTTGGGGCTTTACCCCAGCGAATTATGCTGTGCATGGAGCATGCCACAGCGTAGCTGACCTTGCCACAAGCAGCGGCTGAGTGAGTGGTTAAAGGTGGTGGGTGGAGGGTGGTGGTGGTGCTGCTACCGCTGCTGACCGTGAGCTAACGTTAAGCTAATGAAAATGCTTTGGTTTTTGCGAACTAAGCAGCACGATTTAGCGCCGTTGTCTGCTCTGGCATTAAGTGCAAATATTTTTCATAACCAGCGACACCAGCAACAGCAGCAACAACACCAACTGGAATGACAGCAGCAGCAAATTGGCAGCAGCTTTTTATCAAGCTTACAGCAGCAACTCCGATGCCACGAGATGGTGTTGTTGTTGTTGCTGTTGAGTGCATTGTTTATTGTGTCGTCAAGCCGAAGCCGTGCAACCAACAAGAGCAGCAGCAGCAGCAACAGCAACACAAGCCATAAGCGGATTGGGTTGTGCACAATGCAATTCCCCGTTTGAAAATAAAAAAACACGCTGACACAAAGCTAAGCTTATGTGCATGTATATGTCTCTCTCTTCCTCTCTCTCTCTCTCCCTCTCGTTCTGTATGAGGGTGTGAGTTGGAGCTGCTTATTTTAAAAGCAATTCAAAGAATTTGCGGTTGGTTTTTTGCGCTGTTGCTGCTGCTGCGGCTGCCTAATGAACTCCCACGAGTTGTGCTTCAAATCTGCGTCAGCTAATTAAATGTGCAAAACTACAAATAGACTGCTAAAAGCAAAACGAACTAAACAAATATACATATAAATATAAATGTATATGTATATGTATATGTGTTTGTACAGCTGCCACTTGAGTGCGCCACTGAGCGGTGCTAATAATCAGGGTCAGGTTATAGCAGCCATAACAATACACACACAAAAAGTGAGTGTGTGCGAGAGAGTGAATGAGAGAGAGAAAGAGAGTCTGCATATTTGGCAAACCATTTGTATGAAGCTGAAGTGTAATTGTTTTCACATAAAAACAGAGCCAAACAGCTCGTAAAAATTGTAGCGAAAAGCTTGCTGATTCAAGCTGAAAGTTTCAGCCTGTTAAATCTTGAATACAGGGTGCTTCGAAGCAGAAATGAATGGTTGAAGGTTGAAGCTATAGATGAAAGGCCAAATATAAAAAGGGAAAGTAAATAAAAGCTATATAAAATGTAAAATAAATGTACAGTAAATTCTTAAAGAATCCTCTCAATTACCAGCCTTTTTTTTTTTTAAATTACATTCATCACAATTTAAGGCGTAAATAACTTCAATATGAATAAATTCTCGTTTGTGGCTCAATTTATTTACCTATCCATACAATAGGTGCTTCAATTGCAATCTAAAAACCTCTCAAGCCAAAACACCCTGTGCTTACAATGAATGTGCCCATTCATACAATTTGTATTCCAATCGGAATCTCCGGTGCTTTCAGCGAGGTCGCCCATTCATACGACAATCATTCCAATTGAATTCCCAGAATTTCGTGCACCACAACACCCTGTGCGTACAATGAACGTATTCTCTGGTATTCGCACACTTTAAATATATTTTAAAGTAGCGTTAAATAAATGTGGCAGCATGTAAATGTTAACGAAAGCTTTCATCCAGGTTGCTTCGTTGATGATGTTGCTGATGTTGATGTTGATGTGGATGTTAATGTTGATGTTGAGGTGGATGTGGATGTGGATGCGGCTGTTGCGCCTTAGGGTGGCTATTCGTGGCATGTCCTGTGCTGAGCGCGTTTTCGTGCTCAGTCCTAAACATCAAACAAAATCGATATGTGGGTGGGTTTGTACTTCAGCATGATTTTCGGCATAAACAAGCCATGCAAACATATACGCACACATATAGGTGCGCCACAGGCTGACGGGGGAGGCGTGGCGAGGAGCGAGAGCGGGTCGAGCGACTGTTGTCTACCGTCAGGCTGGTTAGGGGACTCTGCTTTGTTTGAACGCCGCAGGACGCACATTTTTCGTAATGAGTTTGCCTATGTGCAAGCCAGGCCGAGACAAGGTGAAAGCCAGAAAGCAGAACTCTCAATACTAAACTCCACGCTGGGCAAACAACACGGGCAGCAGCTTTGGGATATTTTCGTAGCTGCAAAGGCTGCAATAATAAAGGGCATAATTTGCTTTAATACAAAACCAGAGACCTTTTCCATACACAAACACGTAGGCACACTGACACGCAAACACACGCACACACCCACACACAGGCAGACATACGCAGTGTTTGGCCCAAAGGACATGTCGATGCTTGTTAACAGCAGGCAATGGCATCGTTGCCGCCATCTTTGCCAACTTCCGGTTGGCATTACATCCGTCGTTGGCAACCGGCAGTTGGCAGCTGGCAGGTGTATACTATATAGGTAATTGCTAGCGATTTCCAGGTGTAAATTTTGTTATAAATGAATTTGATTAGCGCCTGTCCTCAGCTTCGACATCTGATCAAATAACGAGCTACAACTGCATTGCAATTAGCTCTCTCTTACTATCTCCATCTCTCTCTCTCTCTCTCTCCCTGTTGCCCTCACTCGTTTTATCTTTCTGACTGTTAATTAGCTCAGAGGCATGCCCCGCCCATTGAATGCTATGTGCTCATCATTAGCAGACATTGGTGAGATTTAATTAAATTGAATTGGCCATTGGCTACCAGGCAACAGGACAGTCGATTGAGATCCTTTGAAATGTTTCGTTGCGTTTTAGCTTTGCATTTGATGTTGCAGCCAACTTCAATTAGTTACTGTGTGTTTGTGTTCGTGTGTGTATGTGTGTGTATGTGTGTGTGGCACTTTTACTAATTGAAGCCAGCTTCTGTTGAGTATTTTTCGTAGATATTTGCTGGCTTTTGTATTCCGTTTTCAGTTATTGCTGCCAATGGCCGCATAAATTGCCCAATGAAACGAGCTGAAGCCATGTGCAATCTTTTTATGGCTACCCCAAACGAGGCGCACAAATGTTAAAAAAATGCTACGTTGTGTCTGTGTCAGCTCAGTTGAGTGTATGCGTGTGTGTGTGTGTGTGGGTGTGTCTGTGGGTATCCACCTTACACACACATGAACAAGCGCTACATGCGTATGGCAGGCCATTGTCTGTAGCAATGCTCTGATTTATGCTATACAAAGAACAAACACAAACACACTCATGCACACACACACACACACATGCACATACATATACACTGGCAAGCACACTCATAAAAACTTATTCATACGTGGCACATATTTTGAGTGCTATCTTTAATATTTCTTTCGTTTTGGGCGCGTTCCAAGTTGCGTTAGCAAATAGCCTGCACTTAACTTGGCCAGCTAAAACCCAATCAGCTGAAAAGTGTGCTATATTTTTGACTCTACTCCCTAGCTGATTCTTGATATATGTTTAGGTAGAATGGGCTTATCTAAAGCGAATTTTCTTAGCTAGCTAGGCAAATTCATGCTAGCATAACTTACTGGCTTAAATATATACTCGATACTCTTTATGTATATAGCTTTTTTTCTATAAGAAGTCTCTATGTGTGCTGAACTATGACTATGCACTTTTTTGGGGGCAACACTAGCTAGACTTCTTAGACTTCTTAAGCTAATTTCCTAAAAAAATCAATATTAATGTATTATTTAAACATCTGATACTTTTGTACCAGATCTTCAATACGATTATATAGCTATATACAATTATATAGAACCGAGTCCTAGCATTTCTAGTTCTCCGTTGAACACATTCATATAACATACGTCCATTCACCTACTTATTTTGTTCTTCTATGCTTAAACTAGTATACCACATTATCTCTGTCTAACATACTATACCCAAGCGAAGCAGGGCGAAGCATCGAGCGCGTTGAAATTTATGTTGCATGCTTTTTTGGATGGTTTCTGAGTGTAAGCGTAGTCCAATTAGGCGTAAACAAATTTGTAGCTGCTGCTGCTGCTGTTGTTGTTGCGTTTGTTGTTGTTGATGATGTGTAATGTGAGCCACTGAGCGACCACTAGTTGCTGTTGTAGCCCACACCAGTACCGCCCACCCGCAACATGCCCAATCGATGCCGCCCACAACACGCCCACCGCTGACATTGACAAAGCTGTTCAAAGCGCGCGTCTCGTTTTGTGTACTTCTTTTTTGTAAATATTTTGAACTATTGATACGCATACGCTCATATTGAAGTATGTGTCGACGACGCTGATGATGATGATGATGATGATGATGTTGTTGCTGTTGTTGCTGATGATGATGGTTTCCGTTTGACCCAGATGCCAACAAACTGTTGCTTTTTGGCCCATGGTAGGTGGCGCTTTTTAGTACAAGGGCAACGTGTGCTGGGAAATTTCAATGCGAATTTCCCTCGAGTTCCCCTCGACGACGCAACAGTTAATTTCCCCCTGCGGCGGCGGCTCGTGGCAAGCCTCGTGTGGCCGAACTCCAATTTTGAGTTGAAGCATTAGGTAAACCAGCTTGAATTCTCAGTCTTCTGGGGGACCTGAAACCGTTAGCCCGCATCTTGCGCTAACTTAAATATATATACATACATACATACATACATATATAGAAATATATATAAACAAGTA